CCTGCGGCCCCAGGCGGAGGCGCTCGCGCCCCACGACGTCTTCATCGCGGTGAAGACCACCAAGAAGTTCCACCGCGCGCGCTTGGACCTGCTGCTGGAGACGTGGATCTCGCGCCACGAGGCGATGGTGAGCCCCGCGGCCTGGGCGGGCGGGCGGGCGGGCGGGCGGGGGCTCTGTCTTGTCCAGCTGGTGGCAGTGTCCGACGGGCGCCAGGCTGCGTCTCTGTCCAGTCTGGGGATTTGTGCTGGTGGTGAAGCCAGCCCATCCCCTTCCAGCCCGGTTCGCCTGGAGGGGCCACTCTCCCCATACAGTTGTGGGTGTTGTAAGGGGACTGATGCCCAGCGCCCTGGATGCCATGCAGACCTTACATCAGCGCCAGTGCTCGGCGCTGGTGCCTTATGATACTTTTTGCCCCCCAAACATTGGAGCACGTTAATAGGACGTTATTGTCCCCAAACCTCCCCAAGGCAGATTCTGCATGGGCATTCACCCTGGGCTCAGGTGGAATGGGGGGGTTAGGATCCCTGAGCCCCGGGCCGTCCCCTCCCCCACCCCGGTCTTTGCTATGGGATGGGGGACAACTCGTTTCTGAAGATAGCCTGAGTTGGGGTCAGTATTGGTGAGCCCTGGGTTTGGGGGTCTGTGCGGAGACCCTCTCCCTGCAGTGCAGGACTCTGGAGCCTGGTGCTTAACGCACCCTAGTTGAGCATCGACTTCCTACACACGCACAGTAAAGACACACCCCACTTTGAAAATCTCCCTCAAGGCTGCAGAAAACGGTTGGATGGGGGCTGGACCGGGACAGAGTGTGGGCCCTGCCAGGGGAGGGGCTGTGAGGGAATGTCCCTGGGCTGGGAGATTTCAAGGGACTAACTACTAACTGGCCATGTGGGGTGAGGGTGAGGGGCTCTCGACAAGTACAGAGTTCACTCGGCCCTGGACACGGAGAAGACCCCACAGCGCTTTCTCCCTGTGTAAACCACGCAGGCCTGGGCTTTCTGGCCTGCAGAGTCCTGTTTTGGGGCAGGGCCCTGGTGAGGTCATGACGAGGGCTAGGGGGCAGGGTCCTGTCTGGTCCCAGCATGGGGAGGGGGCCCCTGGGAACCCCATGGTAGTCTCCTGGGAACACAGTGTGCCTTTCCCAGGGGCTCAGCGGGCCAGTAGGAGGGGGCCGCGGGCATGGGTTTTGTTTGGCGGCCGGGCCGTTAGGATTCCCAGCGCCGGGCGGCTCTCACGCCGGCCTCGGGCAAGGTAACAAAGCCCCTTTCTCCAGCCCAGAAAGGCGTCCGGCCTCTTGTGTGCAGCTATGCGCTCCATGGGAACCGCCGCCGGCGTTGGCCACTCAGGTTGCCTGGAGATGAGGGGCCTACAGCCCCCCACATCCCTGACTGACAGTCCTTGTGGGGCACTATCCATGAGACAGGCCCCTCCTACTCTGCCTCCCTGCTATGTGACCTTCCGCAGCGTTCAGCCCCCTTTGGGCTGCCACCTGCTCTGAGCACCTCTCCTCTTGGACTTTGGGGGGCTTTCTCCAACAGAAGGGATGTGGTTGGGGATCTCAGGTACAAGTTCCAGCTGAGCTGGGTGATCTTGGGCAAGACCCGGGGCGTCTCTGAGCCTCAGTCTCCTTATCTCTGAAATGGGGAGAGCAGTGCCCTTCCAATACCACTTTGTAAAAGGATGGGGAAGACCTGGAGGTAGGGAGTGAGCCCAGTGTGCCCTCAGCTGGGGGGGGGGGTGCCGTCACTCGCCCCAGCTGGAGGGTCACTCAGCTTTCCTTCTCTCCACTGACCCCCCCCCCGGGAGAAGCCAGATCTGCCCGCAGCATCAGTTCATGTGTCACAGCAAGCAGGAGCCCCTCTTATGGTATTTTGTGGGGGAAGGTCCTTGAAACTGTCACAGCAAAGGGTAGTCCTTCCTCTCCCAACCCTGTGCGGGGTGATTCAGACCTAGTCTGATGGGGGAGAATCAAGGAAGTCAGGGCTGCGGTGGGGGAAACCCAGAGAGGCTGTGTGCGCTGAGAGTGGGCATCTGACCCACGTGGTGGGCGGGGTGGCTTCCTGGAGGAGGTGCCATTTGAGCTAGACTGAGAGTAGAAGGGCAACCTGGGCACATGAGCACAAACAAGGGGGATGTGCGAGAAACTTCCAGCAATTGCAGTGACTGTGGGGGATGGGGGTCAGCAGAGGCCACAAGTGATGGGCCTTGGAGTCCAGGATGAGGGGCTGGGCCTTTGGCCCACATGTTCCTCCCCCACCCCTCCCAGGAGTGGGCCAGGCTGTGGCAGTGGCAGCGGCAGCGGCCACAATGGTTGGGGGAGAGCTTGGCATCCTGTGTTTCTTTGAATCGCTGCTCCAGGAACAATGCCGCTTCCTGTGGGTGTCCCCCCCACCCGCCCTCCGCCAGCCCTGCTGCCCTGTTCTTCCTCCTTCAGATCCATTGTTGGAAAAGTGGGGAGGGGACCTGGGGGGGTCTTGGCCCCTAGAATGCATGGCCCTGCTGGGTCAGCACCACCTCTGCCCCAGGGCATGACCACAGGCTGGAGGTTGCCCCTCTGTGGCCTCAGTTCCCCCACTGGTACACTCGGGTAGTAATGGTGCCCACCTGTAAGGGTGCTTGGCTCCGGGCACAGGTGAGCACCTCTTGTGCCGGTTGTACAGAGCGGGAAACTGACCCTCTGAGCAGTGGGCGAGGCGCGCTAGGCAGCCCGTCCCTCCTCTGGTGGTTGCTCATGTGGGGAGACAGGAGGCCAGGCACCCTCCCCCCACTGCCCCACCCTTCTAAGTACTCCTCCGGAACAAAGGTGACTTTAATCTCTGTAGCCTTGGGCCGGGTTTTTAGGGCACCACCAAAGCGCGGGAGAACAGGCCTCCTTGATCTCATTAAGAAAGCATTTTCCTTTTAATGCAGCGGCACTGGTGTCTGCACGGGCCGGCCTCAGCCTCCCACGGCATTCCTGGGCTGAGATGCTGGGGAGCGGGTGGGGGGCTGGGTGCGAGTCTGTGCGTGCGGGCTGCCTTGGGGTGTCTGCTGGGCTCTGGAAGGAGGGGTGCGAGTGTGGAGAGGGCGCAGATGTGGCCTGCCACCCTCTTAGCTCTAAGCCTGTGATCTGTAGCTTGTGGCCACACCCCAGTGTGTGCTCACGTCTGGGGTCAGGCTTAGGCAAGGAGCTGGGGCTGCCCAGGTGAGGGTGGGCACCCCAGATGGGTCCCCAGGTGTATGCACATGCTAGATCCTCTCTAGGACCCGTTTATACACAGAAGGAAACTGAGGCCTGGAAGGCATGGAGATGGGGGTTTCCTGCAGCCTTTGCTCAGAGCACCCCCATGGCACCCCAAGCTTTGCACTCAGCCGTGCCTGGGTGTGCCGGGCGGCACGCGCTGGGCGGGCGGGGCAGAGGAAGGAACATTCCTCCCGTGTGCCGACCGGCCCAGGCGGGCGCCGGCAGCTCCTGGCCCCGCCCCGTTGCTCCCCTTCCTGGCAGCGATCCTGGCAGGGGACGGCCCTGTGCTGGCACAGGTGGAGCCTTGATGTGGCTTGGGCCAGGCCTGTCTTCGAGCCCGGTTTCCTTGCCCAAGCAGGAGGGGCAAGCTGGTCGGCTTGGGTGCCGAGGGCACTGATGCTTGGGCTGGGGCACGTTGCGGCTTCCTGCCTCATCCCTGCGGACCGACGGCATCTCCAGAGAACAGCAGTGGCTGCTTTGGCTCAGAAGGTGACCTGCCTGGTGGTCACACAGCCAGGGGCGTGGGGAGCCCCGGCTTGAAGGCCCAGCCCTGAGAACTGCTGCGTTGTGGCCACAACCCTGCCCACCGGACCTTGCACCCAGCCTGGCCCAGTTAACCAGGCCAGCTGTATGGTAATAGGCAGCGCGGCCACTCCTGCTTAACGCGGCCGAGTTAAGGCCAGCCTGGCGCCCCTCACCCGCAGCCCGGCCCGGGACAAAGCTGGCGGACAATGCCTGGTGATTCATCCTCCCTCCAGGCCCTTTGTCCGCCAGGGCTTGGCAGCCGCCCAGCAGAGGCCTTTGTCCTCGACTGATTGAGACTTGGCTTCCCAAAGCCGACCTCCTCTGCCTGTCCCCCCCACCGCCCTCTGTCCCCTCCCGCAGGCCGGTTGCTGTGTCAATAAGGGTGTGTGCCCCGCCAGGTGTGTAGGGCGGGCCTGGAGCCGGTTACCTGGCAGGTGGGCGGGGCACCCCACCTGGCTCGTGCCAGCACAGCTGCCAGGTGACCTTGGGCCCAGCTGTCGACATGGGGGGTGGGGTGGGGTCTGCCTAAGCCCCAGCTCTGCTTCCACTCAGGTTGGGAACCTGAGCCCCACTTTGTATGCATGGGGAAACTGAGGCCCAGAGAAGGGTGGGGAGTGGGCATGGCTGAGCTGTAGCTGCTGAAATCCGGATGCCCAGCCCCGGACCCCCCCAGTGGCCCAGGGTAGGGACACAGAGCTGCCTGTTCAGGGCCATGTTTCTCCTTCCAGACGTTCGTTTTTACCGACGGGGAAGACGAGGTCCTGGCCAGGCACACAGGTGAGCCCTGGACTTGGGGAGGTGAGGAGGGCGCCACTCCCAGGAGGAAACTGTCTCCCCACCCCTCCCACCCCCCTTTACAGAGAGGTCACAGAGGCCATGGGTCTGGGAGGGCAGTTTACTCCACTGGCTTGCTCTGTGTCTGCCCCACCACTCGGCCCCCCCCAATTCTCATGCAAATGAGGCCCTTTCAGCTCTGGGGCCCCTTTGAGCAACAGGTGGCAGTGCTGGGAAAAAGCCTCCTGAATGGTCAGGGGCGGGGTTGGGCTGGGGCGTGGGGTTCTCCAGGGCTGCGTCCTGCACTGGGAAGGGGGCTGAGCGGGGAGCCTTCTGCAGGCCGCCGCTTGAACCCAAGGCACCCTGGGACACACAGTCACCCACTCTGCCCTGCTCTGTGCTCATCCGCCTGCGGAGGGACTCCAGGCCAGGCTGCCCTCTCTGAGCCAGCTCGAACCAAATCACAGCTTCCCCCCTTGTCTGCAGGCAATGTGGTCAATACTAACTGCTCGGCCGCGCACAGCCGCCAGGCCCTGTCCTGCAAGATGGCGGTGGAGTATGACCGCTTCATCGCATCTGGCAGGAAGTGAGTGTTGGCCTTTGGCTGGGCCCAAGGGAAGCCCCCCTCCAGGCTCCTATCCCAGCAGTTCCCACCCCTGGGGCACAGCATGAGCCCCACTCAAACCCCCTGATGGCTCTGCCTCGCCCCCCAGGTGGTTCTGCCATGTGGATGATGACAACTACGTGAACGTGAGGGCCCTGCTGCGCCTGCTGGCCAGCTACCCCCACACACAGGACGTTTACATCGGCAAGCCCAGCCTCGACAGGCCCATCCAGGCCACAGAGAGGGTCAGCGAGAATAAGATGGTGCGTGGGCTGTCCACTCACACCTGAGCTAGTGGGGAGAAGCTGAGGGTGCCCCTGCAACCTGGGGCAGGGGTCTCACAACGTCGCTCCTCCCACAGCGTCCTGTCCACTTCTGGTTCGCCACTGGTGGGGCTGGCTTCTGCATCAGCCGCGGGCTGGCCCTGAAGATGAGCCCCTGGGCCAGGTGAGTGCCCTGGAGCACAGGTGAGGCTGTTGGGCCAGCCAGATTGCCCTGGGTCCCAAGGCTCCTCCAGGTGGGGCCTGGCTTGGGTCATCTTCCCAGCAGCGGGTGTCCTCAACCTCATGTGCACGGGCAGGTTGGGCTGTGGTCCCCACCATGGCCCTCCTGCTGCTAGCAGGCCCGAGTCGGTTAGCACCCAGGACCCCTGGCTCGCAGGAAATCATCAGGCTGGTACAGAGGAGGGTTCGGTGTTGGGGTTCAGAGAGGGAGGAGGGGAACTGCAGCAGGAGAGCCCATTAGGGACCCAGACATGGTCTGTACCCTGCTCCAGGGGGCTCTGTCACCTCCTCTCTGAGCCCAGCTCCTAAGCTCTGTGCGACCTCTGCCTGGCGGGGTCCTGCCCAGTGGGCCTCAGGCTCCTACCTCGGCTCATATTCTGGCCCTTCCCTCCCGCAGTGGGGGCCACTTCATGAGCACAGCTGAGCGGATCCGGCTGCCGGATGACTGCACCATCGGCTACATCGTGGAGGCCCTGCTGGGTGTGCCTCTCATCCGTAGCGGGCTCTTCCACTCCCACCTGGAGAACCTGCAGCAGGTGCCCGCCTCGGAGCTCCACGAGCAGGTGCGTCTACCTGGGGCCCTGGGAAGGGGTGGGTGGGGAGCGCAGTGCAGGGTGGGGTTACTGTTTTGTATAGGGCGTTCAGGAAGGGCCCCGCTGTTGGCCGCCACCCAGGCCCCCCAGCCCCCCACCGGCGTGGACCCACTCAAATCCTGTAGTCCATCCTTCCCGTGTGTCCTCAGCCCAACTTATCTACTCTGTGCCTCTCGGGTCTTTTCCTGCATCTGTGGGTGTTCTCTTGCCCACGACTGGCGACTCTGCCAGCCCCAGCTGAGGCCCCACTTTGGACTTTGTCCCTGGGGTGCGCAGAGCAGGTGGAGTGTGGTGTCATGCGGCTCATCGGCCTTCCTTCCTGGACTGAGGTGGGGCAGACGGCGGGGCTCTTCCCTTGTTCAGAGCCACAGGGCCAGCCTTGGGCCGAGCTGAGGGCATTGGGGCCCCTCCCAGCATCACGCCGCCCTGTCCACGCAGGTGACCCTGAGCTACGGCATGTTTGAAAACAAGCGGAATGCTGTCCACATTAGGGGCCCCTTCTCGGTGGAGGCTGACCCATCCAGGTGAGGAAACAGGCCCAGCTGGGGCAGGGGCTCACGTAGAGTCCCCTGAGGTCTGGCGGAACTAGAGGTGGGTGTCACTCAGCATCACAATTATAAAGAGTGCCCCCAGGACTCGTGGTGCTGTGGGTCTGAAGATGGGAGCTCATCACCCCCACCCCACACGGACCGCGCCCCCCTCTGTCCCCACAGGTTCCGCTCCATCCACTGCCACCTGTACCCGGACACACCCTGGTGTCCCCGCACCACCATCTTCTAGCAGCCTCAGCTGAGACCCCCGTCCCCGGGCGCCCCTGGTATCCAAAGGGCCTGGGGACCCCTGTTGTGCCGCTCTGGCCTTGTCCTTCGAGGCTCCCAGGGCTGTGCCCCCGTGTGTGTACTGTGTGCCCATCTGCGTAGCAGACTGCTGGGCAGTTTTCCGCCAAGGAGCAGGCGAGAGTGCCCCTTGTCTTCCTTTCCCCGCTCCGGGGTCAGCGGCTCCAGAGCCCTGGCCCCGGAAGGATCTGTATGTCAGAGGTCACTCTGAGGGCAGTTTGATGTTGTTTCTGTGCAGTCTTGGGGCAGTATGGGGATCAGGCTGCTCTGCAGGGATGTGCAGGCGCCTTCCTCTTCCTGTCCCCCCTCGGAGCCCCCAGGACAGTTGAGCCATGCTCGGTGCGAGGGAGCTGGGTTTGGGGAGCAGCGGCCAGGTCCCCTCCTCCCACTGACCCCTGGCCTGGGCACTGCAGCCCTATTAAGCCCCCATCGGCCACGTGGCTGGGTGGGCAGTGCTCTGCAGCCCCCCCGGGCGCGGGTCTTCCTGGCCCTCACATCTTCCCTTTGTCTCCCCACGATGGGGAGGCAGAGCTGAGCATTTTATCTCCTCTCCAAAGTAGAGAGAAAGTCGCCCATAGTGGGTGTGTCTGTAAATATTGTGACAGTATTTTTTTACTGTGCTTGATTTTCAAAAGGGGGTGGGCGAAAAGTAGGGTGTTTTGTCTTTGTTTTGGGGGAGCTGGGGAGGGTGTTATTTTATCTTTTCTGTGGACCAGAAAAAGCAGAAGCCACGCTTGGGATCCTCTTTGTGGTGAACGCGGGAAATGTCTAACACTCCGTGTATTTACGTGGCCCTGGCATCTGGGCCGTCCCGCACCCTCCTCCATCCGACCTGTCTCCCGCTGGTACAGCTTGGCGCACCTCGCCCAGGATGTGTGTTCTGTCTTCTGTTTTTCTTTCTGCAAAGACATAGCTAGGAAAGTGAACAATAAGAGAAAAGTTCTCAGGGAATTGAAGTGTGGTTGCTATGGTGACGTCCTTTGCTGTGAATAAAGGTGCTCTTTGGGGCAATCCAGGGGTCCTGGTCTTGACTGGAAGGTGAGTCTGAGGTACAGGTCGTCTGAGGTGGTACCAGGGGGTCTGGGGACTCAGCCCTTTGCGCTCACGTCGGGGAGGTGAGTAGGGAAGCCCATGGTTGCGGAAGGGAACTTGGGCTCAAAATAGCCACTTACGGGTGCCTGTGAGGCACAGTCAGGGGGCCCTGGAGAGGAGGTCCCACTGAGAGGAGGGGCCCTGAGGCTGTGCAGCCCCCGCCTGTGCCGGGCTGGCCGGGGACTTGCTGTGGCCCAGCCTGGGACCTCCTTACCTGGCTTCATCCCATCACATGCCCACAGAGGCCACATTCTTGGCCCATTTTGTGGGTGGGCAAACTGAGGCTCAGAGTGGGAGATGCCCAAGGTGAGGCGGTGGAGAGCTGCCACTCGGAGGCTGACCCTGCCCCGCCCTGGGCACCAGCTCTCCTCTGCGAAAGGGCTGGAGGCCCACCCCTCCCTGGACGGGTCTCGGGGCTGGGCGAGTCCTCAGAAAGCAGCTCCTCCTCACTACCCTTTCTTCCTCAATCAAGCTTCTGAGGATGGCAGGAGTCCAGAGGGGCTGCTGCAGCCTCGCTGGGAAGTTCCCGCCCCCGCCCCCCCCCCGCAGCAGGGGGCAGCCCTCACTTCCTCTTCCTCCTGCTAGCCAGACCTCCCTGGCTCTGCCGCGCTGCTGGCCCCAGGTCCCCTATTCCACGCCCCCACTGCCCCCAGCTCAGGCTGGTCAGCACATCAAAAACCAGTCATTTGGCTTCCTCTTTTCTGTAAGGGACCTGAGGTGACCTCTGAAAACGGTTCGCTGGTCACTTGACCCAGAAAACCCCACAAAATCATGCAAATCAAGAGGTTCAAAACTTCGTGCTCACTCAAGGAACACTTGGGAAACTGCCCTGGCATGAAGGATATGCACATCCGAAAAGCCACCTAGTGTCTGAAGGCTGTCGCTTTACAATAGTAGTCATTCCTTGAGACAATGGTGGCGTTGGGAGGTGTGCCCAGGCCACGCAGTGGGGCTGGACACAGGGTCAGTGACCCAAAAAGAGTGCTCACACGCTTAAAAATAGAGGGAGGCGCTGAACTTTGGGGTTCAGATGTAGACTGGTCATTGAGCACAGCCAGGTGACCAGAGCCCCGAGAAGTGCCGCTCATGGACCGACCCGTGACGAGTGCCCCCGCCGTACTTACGTGCTCCTTGATTGTCCCTAAACCAGAGGAGGAGCTTGCACAGGAGAAAAATACAGCCTAGAAGAAACTGAAGAAACAAAAACTAAATTCAGCATCAAATAAATGCTAATAAGAATAAAAGCAGAAGAAAAAGCAAAGTTGCATGAAAAGTGCCTCCCCTCCCCACCCCCAACCTGCTGGGGGCAGAAGGGCAGCCCCACCCCACCAGTCACTGCTCACAGCCTTCACAGCTCTTGCTGGTGGCTGCTCTGGCCTGGGGGCAACTGGCCAGGGCCTGATCCCATCTTGCCTTGGACAAGCCAGAGTCAGCAGAGAGTGGCTTCCAGAAGGCCTGGAGCAGCGTTCCTGGGGTGTGGGCCGGGACTGGTGCAAGGGACGGAAGGAGGGCCCATTGCATCACATGGCCAGACCACTGTGTGCCACCCTGGGTGGAGGCAGCGGTCACGTTGGATGGTGCCGTGGGAGTGACAGCCAGACCGCTGCCGAGTGAGGGCAGAGGCCACGGGCCTCCTTCCTGCCCGGTTAGAGCCAGGGCCCCAGTGCCACCTCTGGTAGCTGGCATCGGCCTCTCGGAGCTGGTGGGGCCCTGGGGCACAGGTGTGGCTGTGCGGCCCCGTCTGAGCTGGTGGAGTCCTCATCTGAGCTGGCACCATCCATCTGTCCTAGTGTGGGGTGGGGGTGCTGAGCAGGGACCGCAGAGCAGAGGGGTACCAGGCAGGGTTGGGAGGAAGCCCCCTGCCCCTCCTAGAGCCTCAACCTCTCCATCTGAGAAATGGGGACAGACACAAATGCAGCTCAATTCCTGGTGTGCTGGGCCTGGAGGGCTCCTGGCGGCGGCCAGGCTAGTGGCACCATGGCCTGCGCCTCCTCTAAACGAGAGGCTGAGGGAGGAAAGGAAGCTCTCCCTCCTCAGCAGGGGGAGCAGGTCCTGGAGGGGCCTTACGGGAACTGGGCAGCCGCTCGCTTCCACCCACCACCCTCCTCCGGGAGGTGAGTCACGGAGGCAGAAGAGGTGATCTCACCATACCCCAACCTCTCTGGTGGCATCATCGTCCCCAACCCACACACTGGGCTGGTGGCCGGCTGGAGAGGGTCCTGACTGGCCCAAGGGGCTCCATGCCCCCCCAGCCTGGCTCCTCCCAAACTGCTGGTCAATCGTGGGCTTTCGAAAATAAAAAGTAGAAACTCAGCGCTGGGGCTGCTGGTGCCCCCAACCCACAGCTTCCGTGCTGCCAGGCAGGCAAGTGCCAGATCTGGGAGGAGTTGAGGAGGTGCCCCCTCCCTGCTCAGTTTAGACAGACTTCCTTCCACCCAGGCTATCATGGCCGACTTCCTCCAAGAGCATCTGAGCTGCAGCAGAAAGGCAGTGGGGCAGAAGAGGGCGCTCCGGGTGCCAGCACCACCGGGCAGAGGTGTGGAGGTGGGACCCACTGGCCCAGGATCGCCGGAAGGCTAGGCGATAGGAGGACCGCTCAGGGCGCCCATGGGCCCAACCCGCAGCAGCAACCGCGGCCTTCCATGGGTGCGAGGCCAGACCCTGCTGGTCACTTTGGCCAGAGCCTGCCCTCTCTGGGCCTGGGGTCAGAGGGACAGCGGGTGGTAAGGGCCAGCCTCACCTTTCTGTCTGTCAGACCAGCTGGCCAGTCCCGCTGCCACCCCAGCCCCAGCCTTGCCAAATGTTCCTGGAGGTGACCCTCCCCTCACTGTGGCGGAGCCCAGGGCTGGACACACACAAGGCACCTGGTACATCGCTGGGAGGGACCCAGGCCCTGGAGGGCGCCCAGGTCATGCTGTTACGCTGAGTTTGGAGGCTCAGAGCTGTGGCTGCTCGCCCCATACACCACCCATGACTCCTCCCAGGCCTCCAGTACCCCTTCGTGTCAACCCACACGGCCCTTGGGCGCCAGCTGGTGGCCAGAGCCGGTGGCTTCTCTCCCAGCCTGAATCCACCTTTCCCAGCACCCAGGCCGGGATCTAGGGGGCGCAGCCCCTGAGTGGCAGGGAGGGGAAAGCCTCTCTGTAGCCCCGTGCTTGCTCGTAAAAGTTCACGTCACGAATCTTAACATTATGACCAGAACTTGGCTCCTGCAGTACGTGTAAGGTCAAGAGGCAGGCTTGGGCCAACTGCCGCGCGCCACTCAGGCCGCCCTGGCCAGCGCCCTGTCTGTCCCCTGGCTCCGGCTGCCGTATCTCCTCACGGCCCATCCCCGCGGGACCCACCGCTCTCTACCTGCTCTAATGGGCACAGCTGAGCCCCGGCCCAGCTGCCTGCAGTCACTGGGGTCTTGCTGGAAACGTCGGTTCTCAGGCTGCCCCCAGCCCACCAGGGACTGCGGGGCGGGTCCCCCGACAGCCTGTCCACCGGCCCTGTCCTGGTCTCATCCGTCAAAGACCCTGCCCGCTCGGTCGGGCGGTCCCCACTCCACGGCCACTCCCCAGGCGGCAGCGTCCACTCTCCCCACCTCCCCTGTGTCCGGCTGACCCCCTCCAATGTCCTGCTCCTGCTGGGCCCGACCCCTCATCCCTCGAGTCCGCCCCTCGCCCACATCCCGTGAGCTCACCTTCACGTCTGGCCTCTCGCTTCCGTCTTTTCTCTTGGCCACGCATGTCGTCTGCCCTGTGGCGCCTGCTTAGCACCTGGGCAGCTGGAGGCGGACTCTCCCCTGGCCAGTCTCGCCCTGAGTTCCAGACCGAGCGCTTCAGGGCCCTTGGGGAAGCCCATGTCCCAGGCGGCGGCACCTTCTCCTCTGTCCCGACTTCCTCTCCAGCCTCCCCATTTCAGGAGACGCTCCGCCCACTCCCACCCATGCCCCAGTGCTCTAATCACTGGGCCAGTGGGGGTCCCAGTCCTTCCTGGACACGCAGGAACAGCACCCCGCCAGTTAACGCCCCCTCTCCCCCTGCATCCACTCCCTCTGTCTACAGGTCACTGCCGTGAGCCTTTCCAGTATGCGGTTTGGCCCGTCCACACGCACACGCACACGCACGTACGCACACGCACGCACACGCACGCACGCTTTCTGGCCATGCCCCCCAGCTGTGGCACTATTTTTCTGCTTTGCGGCTAAACCCAAAAAGGGTGGGGGTCCCTGCTGCCCCATGATCTCTCCCACAAGCTCCTGAACCAGCTGTCAGGCCCCATCAGACTGTTCTCATCCAAGAAACCCTGCTGTCCAGGTCACCAAGCCCACTGGTCACTTCCCAGTCCCCGTGGAACCTGGCCAGCAGCGGCATCTAATGTGGTCCCTCGTCCACGCGGCTCCCAGGACGCACGCTGTCGTGAGCTTCTCCCTGCCACACTGGTCACTCCTTCGTCCTCCCAGCCCCCGGACACTGGGGGGCCCTGACCGCGATCTTGGTCCTGCTGTCTCTCTCCAGCACCCATTCCCTGTGGGGTGTCACCCAGGCAAAGATCCCAGCTGACCATCTCCACCCAGTGCTCTTCCCAAATTCGACTCAAACATCCCGCCACCTCTCGGGTGTCTCAACATATCCCCAACTGGACCTGCCTGTCCCTGGGCCCATCTCAATTCATGACCACACACCCTCTACCGGCTCAACCCAAACGCCACCCCACCCCAGGACCTGCCGTTCCTTCCAGAACCCAGCTTATCGCCCCACCGGACTCCTGGGGCTCCCCCAGCCCGTGGCTCTCTGCATGCGGCCGCCCTGCCCATACTTGGGTGGGAGCCAAAACAACTCAGGAAAAGAGGCCTGTTTTTTAAAATTTATTTTAAAACATGAAACCCAAGCTGAATAGAAACCACAGAAATTACATTGACGAAATTTTAGTATTTGCCAAGAAAAATAAAGCCCCCAAAGAAATAAAAATCAAACCCCAAACCCAGTTTGAAAAAAAAAAAACCCAAAACTGAAACACAGCGACAGCACATCCAGCCGCGGCCCTGGGGAGGTTGGAGGTGGGAGGCAAGTGCTCAGTGGCTGAAGCCTGAGTCCCCATTCAGCTCGGGATGTTGTCACAGGGGTGGGGCAGGAGGGGACCCGGAAGGTCGAGGGTCGGAGCCTTAACAAGCACACGACTGTTATGGTTAAAACAAAAATCCACCCCCCACCCCCCGCGGGCCCCAGATGCCACCCCCACCTGCTCAGGGTTGGGCAGGGAGGGGAATGGTGATGGACTGGAATTGCATAGTGAGATGGGGTGGGCATGGCTGGGAGGTGTCAGGGGCTTCCAACCAGGCCTCCCCTTACCCAAACCTGCGGCAGCAGCCAGACTCCATCGGCCAGGGGTCCCCAGCTGGCCCAGCCTCGGGGAGGCTGAGCCTGTGGGCTTGATGGCCTCCCCCCAACATGCGACAGGGCCTGAGGGGCCCAGAGCCCATTGGTACAGGAGTGGGAATGAGTGTGGAGAGGTCACTGGGATGGGGGATGGTCAGGAAGGCGGCCCCAAGAACTTAGAACAAAAAGAAAACCAACACAGGACTCCCTTCCCCTCCAAGGACTGAGGCTTAGGTTTGAAACCCTTTTGTTTTTCCCCTTTTCCTTTATTCGACCTTGGTGAGTGGCAGAACCGTGGGTGCACTCGCTGACAGGGCGGGCACACGCGCAGTGGGACCCAGTCCCCACAGGCCACGGCAGGGCGGTGCCTCTCTGCCTCCCGCGCACTCTGGGGCGGCCGGCTGTGCTTCTGGGCAGTGCAGAGCGCCGGGCAGGCCCAGGACTGCGGGGCCACGGGGTGGAGTCCCGGGGGGAAGGCTGGGCAGGCGGGCAAGGCCCGCCTCCTGGGGGCCTGGAGCACAGTGCTGTGCAGCGAGGTCTGGCCATGCCGGGGACAGATTCCAGGTGGGGGCCCTGGGCAGGCCCACCCGGGGCATTGTTTGCCCCTCACTCCTCTCCCCTCCCAGGGCAGAGGCTGCCCCCGGGGTGGGCAGATGTGGCCCGGCCCCCACCCCACCTGCCTTTTGGTCCCAGACACCAGCAGAAAGAAAGAGGGTCATGGGGGAGGGGAAGGCGACCTCGCTCTGGGAGTCCGCCTGTATGTCTGTAAATTGCGGGGCCAGACGCCTGCCTTCCCGCGTAGGGACCCTGGTCTGGGCACACATGAGGCTGCTGGGTGGCCTTCTGCTGCCCCTGGCCTGGCGCATAGTCCAGAGCTCGCACCCAGCCTGTGTCAGGCTGGCCAGGCCAGGGCTACGGCTGGCAGGGGACTTCCCGTCCTGGTTTAGGGGTGGCCCCACACCATGGCAGGAAACAGCAAACATTGTACACTAAAGCCAAAAGCACCTTAGGGAAGCCTTGCTCCCACTTCACAGGTAGGGAGACCGAGGCCACAGGGGCCCTGGTCCCATAGCCCAAGGACGTTCGTTCCCGAGGACATGATCCTCCTAGGCAGCACCTGCCAGGGAAGGGCTCTTCAGGCCCTCGGGCTGCCTGTCGGGCTATGTCTCCCCAAGCGGCACCCCGAGAAGAAATGGCTACTCCAGCCTGACTCCCAGCCGGCTGTCCTGGATTCAGGGTCACACTTGCTGGCTCAGCCGGGGCACCACGGAGGCTGGGGTGAGGTTAGTGGTTAGTCCCAAGGGGGCGGCAGGGGCCAAGGGCTCATTCACAGCCAGCTCGGGTCCAGCCCCCAGGCAGGGCTCCAGGACACTGCGCCTGTCCGGGACGGAAAGGGGACCGGGAGGGAGTGTGCTCCGCCAGCAGCCCCACGGCCCACCTGCCCTAGAGATGACAAGTGGTTAGTGCAAAGAACGAACCGGGAGAAGCTGCCGAGTCTGGGGTGGGGGACGGGGGTTTGGCACCAAGCGGCGGCCAGCACTGGGGAGCAGCCCGGGCTCGGCCGGACACCTGCTGTCCTCCTGCCACCGTGGAGGGCTGGGTGCCACAGGCGCTGAGGGAGAGAGCAGAGAAAGGGGGGCCATCCCCGGGAGGCTCTGGGAGCTGGCGGGAGGGGCCTGTGGTCCAGTGGGGCACGAGGAGCCACAGACACTGCAGGGAGGAGCGGGGGGCGCCGGGGAGGGCCTCGCGATGCCGGCACGGAGCGCGAGGCGCAGCCTGTGAACTGACAAGTGACCAAAGAAGCATCAGGGCTGTGGGGGGAAGGAGCAGGCGGTGCGAGCCGAGGAGACTGCAGGTCCAGAGGGTCAGCGTGCCAGGGTGAGCGTCAGCGACGGCACCATCCCGAACCCGCAGAGCTGAGGGCTGTGGGAGGTGGGGGCCGGGAGGGCCCTGGTGTCGGCGGCAGTGCTCCCCGGTGTCCAGGCGTGGGACCCAAGGCGAGGGCACGGGCCCAGCGCGCGCACGTCTCCACCAGCCTGGGGTCCCTGCACGAACCTCCAGGCTCCTGCAGAAAGGGGAGGGGAGGGCAAGGGGCCTGGCACACGTGCGGAGGGTCTGGCAGGTGGCCGTGGTGTGAGCGGCAGTGCTGGCACGGGAAGGAGCAGGGCGATTGGCACGTGGGGTGGGTGGCTGGCTGGGCAGTCTAGTGGCCACTGCCGCTGGAGTCGGGGCGAGGCTGGCTCGTGGCGAGGTATTTGGCTCTCATGCTGGACGTGTACTGCAAGGAGACAGGTAGGCGGGCGGTCAGCAGGGCACGGGCCTCGGCAGGCTGAGCCGGGGGCACCGCTGGGGTAGGACAGGACAGCCGTGGCACAGGCGACAGCCCTGAGGCGGGGACTCAGGAGGGGCCACCAGGCCTATTGCCTGGACTCGGAGCCCTGGCGGGCCCCAGGGAGCAGAGGTTTGGCCCCCACTCCCCAAGCTCAGGACGATGAGCATACTCAGTCCCGTCCCGTCGGGCATGTGGGCACCAGGCCAGGCAGAGCTCTGAAACTGCCCCCCACCCCAAAAGCCAGAGCCCGGAGGCCCCCCACACCTAGGGCCTGAAGGCCACAGACAGGCTGCTTCTCCCCCTGTGGGACCCTGGCTGAGGGGCCATCATGCAAAGGTGGGGTCAGGCTGAGTTCTAGGAAGGGTCAGACGGTCACCGAGGGCCCAGAGCAGCAGGGCCTCAGGAGGTAGGAGGCCCCACAGCCACTCGGCCCCATCACCCTGGGAAAGGACGGGCCCAAAAGCCGACCGGCCCCTCAGGCTGAGGTGACGCTGCTGCCCACTCGGATGGGGAAGCAAGCTGTGGGCTGCTCCCACGTCACAGACTCGGGGACAGAGGCAGCTGGGGAGGGCATGGCCTGAACATCTCAGCCACCCTCATCCAAACGGAAGCGTGAATGCACATGCCTCGTTCAGTGCACATGCGTGTGTGCTCTCAATCACGTGGAGGCGGCTGTAGCAGGCAGTGTGCAAAGGGCCACAGGCCCATGGGGGACAGGGACAAAGGCCGAGGTGTGTGCCACAAGACACCAGTGGTAATGAGCCTGGCAGCCTGACTCCACAGCCACAAACTAACCCCACCGACCCCTGGGGACTCCAGCAACCCGAGTCCCACCCCACAGTCCCCAGATCAGGAAGGACAGTGTCCCCTGGTCCTGAGAGCCCTCCCGGAACTCCTGGTAGGAGAAGGGTGTGTGTGCCCATCAGGTGGCCAGCAGGGAGTGTGAAAGGAGCAGCAGGCACCAGGGAGCTGCCATTCCATGGACATGCGGCAGTGGGCAGGGACGGCGGGCTGCAGCCCAGAGCCCCGAGGGAGCCCATGCAGGGCGCACAGCACTCCATGGGGATGGCTGGGAGCAGCGTGCACACGCTTGTCTGCACGCACAGGTGTGCACTTCCATGGACATGCAGGGCGGCACTGCGAGGGCCAGGCTGCACCCCAGGACCCCAGCTCCCCCATTCTGTCCCCGTGCGCTCAGGCCCAGGCATGCATGAGGGTCTGGGTAGACGGTCTCCTTGCTGGGAGGTGACAAGAGGGGTTGGGGCCACCTGCCGCAGGGCCAGGGGTGGGGAGGGGCTCACTGCCCCTGATGTGAGGGCCACTGTCCAGCGCCAGCACCAGCGGTCTCCGGTTGGGCTGAAGGTCGCAAAGCCAACAGGCCTGCGCCTGCCCAGAGCTGGCCCCGTGGGCCCTGATCTGAGCATGTCGGGTGGGGTAAGGCCAGCCCTGGTGAGGGGGCAGCAGTGAGCAGAGGGTGTGAGGCATGAGGTGCAGGCGGGCAGGTGGTGCAGGGCAGGGGACCCAGGTGGGTCAGTACCTGTCACTCTGAGGCCACCACCGCGTTCGGGCACTGTCCATGGGCTTAAACTGCCAGCCCGCGTGGCTGCCAGAGTCCAAGGCAGCTAGATATCGCTAGGAGGGCCCGAGGTGAAAGGGGTGCAGGAGAGAGAGAGAGAGGGTGGCCTCAACGCCAGGGCGCAGGCCGGGCCTGGAGAAGGCCATGGGGCCGGGACACAGTGCTGATGACAAGGGCAGCCTGAGTGTGAGGAGACAGCCTGGGGGCTCACACAGCCCCAGGCCCAGGCCCAGGGCACAATGGGGCCACTGCACACATGGGCGGGTATTTCTAGAGCATGGTGGACTTCAGCCTCTCTGGCTGTCCTGTCCTCTGCAGCCGCCACGTCCAGGAAGCCCGTCAGGGCCCCTGCCTCTCTGTCAAGTCCTTCTCTGTCATCGAACCACCTTTTCCCCTCTTTTCTGTGTTTCGCCTCTGAGGGCAGAGGGGACACCGGGCCAGGCTGCACCAGCCCGGGGCAGAGACCAGGGCTGAGCTCAGGAAGTCAGAGAAGGAGAAGAGGAAGCAGCCGGGTAGGGAGAGAGAAGTCAGGGCTCCACGGAGCCAGGCTGGGCCCCAAGCAGCTGGCCCCAGGGTACCTCAAAACCAGCTTGTGGTCCCACCAGGTCTGTCTACTGAGGCCAGATGCCCGCCGAGAGCCCCAGCTGGGGACAGCCTCTCAGCCCTGGTGCCCACTGCAGGTTCACAGCAGTCCACAGGGCCTGCGCTGTCCGTGAGGGCCACACCCGACCACCCAGGCAGCGCCCCCACCCTCCCTCCTGCCCCAAGACTTACTGAGGGCGGCGGGGACTCGCGCCCGATGAGAGGGGTGTTCTCACAGCGGGGGTTCTGGAAATTGGCATTCTGGCTCCTAAGGCGCGAGGAGAGATGGGCTGAGTGACTGTGGCCACGGTGGTCCCAGCCCTGGGTCAAAGGGCCTGTTCTGGGGCCAGCCAGACCCAGTGCCCACCACGCTCTGCTCACTTCAATCCTGACCTCAGCAGGAGCAGGCACACCCTGTGTATTCTCATCACCACCCCGTATGCTGCAAGCTAGCAAGGGCCTGTGGGGTCCTAGGAACCTGGCACAGTAACCGGGGGCTCAGAGTGGGCCCAGGCCTTTGGCCACACCATCCCTATGGCCTAGACACGGACCTATGCTTCTGACCCAGTGGCCTCCCTGTGGCCTCGACCCAGGCTTGCCTGGGCACAGGAGGCACTCAATACCAGGCAGCCCCTGGGGAGGCCCAGCCCTAACACGGCCCCCACTGTCTGACGGCCCCTCCTTCTTTGCGCTGCATGGCCTCTCGTGGGCCTCTGCCCACTGGCCCTGCGCCTTTCATGTTCACCAGTCCCAAGTCTGGATCTGCACTCTACACTTATGTGCCTGCCGGCCACCCTGAGCCCCACGCAGCCTGCCCCAGGGCTCAGCTCTGCCTGGGTCCTCCTGGGCTGCCCCTAGCTCCCGGCACGACTCACATGTACTCGGTGACTGGGGCGTTGCTGACAGTGTGGGCCGCAGCTGGGATGCTGGTCTCGCTGCCATAGCTGCTGCCACAGCTGTACAGACTGGGCATGTGGACACGGTAGAGGCTGTCGTGAGCCTGCCGTGGCCCGGGCGCAGGCTCCTCCTCCCCGTCCTCGTCAGGGGCTCTAAGAGAGGGACAGGCAGCACAGGCTCAGATCCTGACACAGGAGTGGGGCGGGGCTCGGCCTAGTGCAGACACACCTGGCTCTAACCCTGGCTCGGCCACATACACACTATGGGCAAGTCACCCCGGCTTCGTCCTCTGAGACAGGGGTGCCAAGGGCCCTGTACCTCAGCCTGCACACAGGGACGCTGACTGCCGATTAAAAGACTCCCGGGAGCAGGGCCCCTCCTGGGGGAGGCACCCTCCTGGGTGCCTGGAGTTGAGGGTGCCCTCTGCTGGGTCTGCAGGTCCCAGCCTGCACCTCTGGGTGGCCCGAGCCCGAGGGGCCCATCTGTACTCAAGAAGCCCGAGCCCTCGGGGTCCGTCTCTGCCCTTGGAGGCCCGAGCCCACGGGGTCGTCTCTGCCCTTGGAGGCCCGAGCCCTCAGGGTCCGTCTCTGCCTTGGGAGCCCGAGCCTAGTCCTTCCCGCTCTGCTGTGCTCTGGCTCCTCCCCCACCCTGCTCAGGCTGCTGCAAGGCAAGTGGAGGGAACCATGGGCCAGGCCTCTGGCACTCTCAAGGAGCACCACACCCTGCCTGGTCCCAGACAGGACTCAGGGCTGGGCTGTCTGGTGAGTGCACCGGTCAGCCAGGCAGCAGCTTGGTGGCCTCAGGCAGAGTCGCCTCACCATACTCCTCATAGTGAGATAAGCAGAACAGTGTAGCACTTGGCTGAGCACCAATTATCAGCCAGGCCCAGGGCTGAGCCCTTACACCTAGTGGTTCATCTAGAGCAACTGACCCCAGGTCGTGTGTACCTTACAAGCCCCGTTTTACAATGAGGGAAAGTAAAGCCCAGAGTGGTTAAGTGGCTTGTCCACAGTCATCCAATAAGCAAAGGTACAGCCAGTATCTGAATCTAGGACATGTGGTTCCAAGGCTGTGCTCTTAGCAACTCCCCTATAATTGCCATCTTTACTACCACTGCCACCACCATCACTATCAGCAGCACCACCACCATCACCACCGTCACCACCATCATCATATCACCATCATCACATCACCACCATCACCATCATCACTACCATCACCACCACCACCGTCACCACCATCACCATCACCATCATCATCACTACCATCACCACCACCACCATCACCACCATCACCACTGTCACCATCACCACCATGGCCATCATCATCACAACTGCCACCACTGGCAGCATCACCAATAACCATCACAATAAAGAATGGAGTAGAAATCCAGACAAAGGGAAGAGATCTGAGCTGAGCTATTTGCCAGCCAAGATGGGTCACCAAGAAGCAGTCACAACCCAAGTCAGAGGGGAGGTGGTCAGTGGGCCATAGAGGCTACAGCCACCTGGGGCCCTCCCTGCAGAAGCTGTGAGTACGAGAACCCTGCACATCAGCACCAGGGGTGGGGAGACGGACGAGACATTCTGAGGCCAGCCAGAGGCACGGAGCACCTGGGGGCATGGAGGCAGCATGGTTCTCCCTGCCTGCTCCAGACCCACGTCACCTGGGCTGGGAGCTCTTCTAGGCTCAGGTTTCCATCTGCGCAACGGGGATGCTCATACCAGGCCCAGCAGCCTCACAGCCACTGCAGAGCCTTACAGAGTATTACGAGGTGAGGAGTTACATGTCCCTGTGCCTGAGGACTAGGGCATGGGGTGTCCAGAAGGCAGGTCCCTAAAACATCCTGTGTGTTGTGGCCTGGGACAAGCTTTAGGGCCTTTGAGCCCCTCACCTCTTCTGCTGCCAGGTGTGAGGGACGCTGCAGACGATGGAGCTGAACATGAGGGCTGTGACGAAGGAGAAGAGGGCCAGGTAGACGAGGCCCTCGACGCCATCATAGCAGAAGCCTGTGAGGGCTTGCACATAATCCTGAGGCCAGGAGGGACAGAGATGACAAGGCCCCAGAGGCCAGGAGAGAGACAGGAAGGCAGTGTGAGGTGGATATGCTGGGCTTGATCCAGCTCACAGCAGCCGGAACCGCCCTTCCCCTGAGCTGGACTCGAGGCTAGGCTGGGCCTCCAGTCCGATGACAAGTCCCTATTCTCCTGAGCAGCCACCCCTGCCCCCAGCCGCCCCCTCCAGCTGCACCCCCGCCCCAGCTGCCCCCTCCAGCTGCGCCCCTGCCCCCAGTCGCCCCCTCTAGCTGTGCCCCCGCCCCAGCTGCCCCCCTGCTGCAGGCCCAGCTCCAAGAGGCAGGCTCTCACCAGGTGCAGGCTGCGACAGTCCACCAGGGCGGTGAGGTGCTGAAGGTTCACCTCTGTGCCGTTGAGCACCTCCTGGACACGGAGCAGAGGGTCCTGGGGGTGCACACCACCAAGGTCAGCACCACAGTCAGCAGAAGGACCCAAGCCAGCCACAGGTGCCCTGGGAGCCCCCAGATGTCCGTCCGCCCCACACCCTGCCACTGAGACCACCCTCGACCCCACAGTCTTGGCACAGGCCCTAAGGATCCTGGGCTTTTAGAAATGGCCACAGCTGAGGACTTGATGGTAGAGAGGGAGCACGGGACCCACAGACGTCAGTCCAGTGGGGCCACCACTATGTGGTCCCATTATTGTAACAGGAGAGAAGAAATATCTACGTGTGTCCTGACATTCATTGGCCCAGTTCTCTTAAAAATCATATTTTAAGGAACAATTTTCATGAGATTTTAAGTGACAAAACATTACGAAAACACTGTAGTGACCCCAATCCTGTCGTGTGTGTGTGTGTGTGTGTGTGTGCACGCGTGTCTGCGTTGTGTGTGTGCATGCATGTGTGCGCACAACACCCATCTATATCTCCATGGAAAGACTGCACAGAAACACCTCAGGGTTGACAGTGCTGCTTGTACATCAGCCACTGGACCCAACGCTGCCTTTTGTGACACATTTTCTAAAGGCCCTCTGTGATCCTGAAATGGATTTCACGACAATACGACTGACTTACTACAAGGAGCTGAATTATGCCCCACCCTCCATTCATATGTTGGAGTCCTAACCCTCAGGACCTCAGAATGTGACTGTGTTTGGAGACAGGTTCTGTGAAGAGGTGGTTAAGACATGAGGTCACTAGGGTGGGCCCTGATCCCACCTGACTGATGTCTTTTTTTTTTTTTTAGTTTCAGGACCCTTCAGCTCCAAGTAGTTGTTTCAATACAGCTGTGGAGGGCGCAGCTCAGTGGCCCATATGGGGATTGAACCGGCAGCCTTGGTGTTGTGAGCCTGCGCTCTAACCACCTGAGCCAACCGGCTGCCCCCTGACTGGTGTCTTAATGAGAGGAGATGAGGACACCAACGAACACAGAGGGATGACCCTGTGAAGACACAGGGAGAAGACAGTGCCCACACGCCAAGGAGGGGCCTCAGGAGGAACCGGGCCTGATCTTGGGTTTCTGGCCTCCAGGACTGTGAGAAACAAATGTCTGCTGCCTAAGCTGCCGCTCGGGGGGTTCCTGTGTGATGGCGGCCTGAGCAAGCTCACACACACACACCTGTCCACTCAGTCCCAATCAAGGGGATGCCTTGACTGTAACAAAAATGAGAAATAAAAAGGAAGTACCTTTAAAGTAGTATGTGTGCAAATAGCTTTAACTGAAACTTTGTGAAGTTTATTGAAAGGGCCGGCTGCTCAGAGACCTGGAGAACCCCATCGTGCAGGACCCCACACGCTGTCCAGCACCACCCGGGAGGCGGGGCGCGGTCAGGAGCAGCGACAGTGAAGCACACATGGGCACGCCTGCTCAGCCTGGAGTACCCCAAGAAAGCAGTCCCCTCAAATCCCCAGGACTCTCCCAGGGGACGACCCTCACCCAGGAACCACAACGGGTAGATCTCACTGTTCCTCCATTTGATCCCATTTTCCTCATTTTTCTAATATGAAGTTTGTATGACTTTTAAATTACAGAACAGAATTGTTTTTGAGAACCTACTACTGTAAGAATCCCCAGGGAAACAGAGCAGTGATGGGGAGGAACAGAGAAGCCTCTGCGTGGAGGGCGGGGGGGGGACAGGGCAGCCTGCAGGGGTCCCCTCCCTGCTGCGATGACAAACAGGGCGCTTGCACCTTGCAGGGCCCTGCTCACCCCTCACCTTGGTGTCCGGGTACTCCCGCGGGACAGTCTTCAGGAGCTCAGCCACCACGTCCTGCATCTCCACCAGCGCCTTGTGGCTTCCCGATAGCTTCTGCTCCAGAGAGGCCAGTTGCTTCCAGCAGGAAAGGGGCCACCTCTCCCGCCCCCACAAGGCCCCAGCCCAAGGGGGGGCCTGCGGGACACCCCTCCCTAGACCCTCAGGTGCCCAGGCACCCAGACAATACAGATCACTGGAAATACAGTGTCTTCAGGACCCCAGAAAGCCATGTAATCATGTGGAGTAATGGGCAGCGGGCTAAGGGTTCCCCTTCAAACCCACCACAACAGCTGCCCAGTTATTCCAGGGTGAACACAGGGCCTCCCGCACTGAGGCAACCCTGAGGCCCTCCATGTGTGCCAGACAACCAGCTTTGCCCTGTAGGGTTGGCCAAGGGCAACCCAGGGAATGAAAGGAGTCCCAGGGATTTGGGGGGCATTAAGCAGGCCACCCCAAAAGGCTTGCGCAGAGGGCAGCAGGGCAATAACCCCAGGGGCAGCTAGTGATGGCAACGTGGCACTCGCCCAGCTCTCTCCCAGCTGTCTCCCAAAGGCTCCCAGGGTCGCAGTGGGCACGAGAGTGGGCCTGGTGGGCTGCGGACATTGGGCTGCGGGGCTCAGGGCCCTGTGGATGCAGAGGCAGGGGCAGCCTGGGCTCTCACCTGCTGGAAGGGGTTGGAGGCACGGGGCGAGCAGGCCAGGTAGTACTGCAGGATGTCTGTGGAGAAAGGTGAACACGGACACTGGCTTCGGAAGCTCGAGACGCCTCCCTTCTTGGGGGGCCTCTGAGGCCCAGCGCCGGATGGCCAGGAGCAAGAGCTGGAGGGAGGGCGGGGCTGGCCGCACCCACACTTTGCCCCTCGGGTCTGAGGTCCCATCAAGCTTGTGTTGAAACATAACAGAGCCCCCACTTCCCTTCAGCCCCCTGTAAGTGGGGCTGGCACACTGGCGTCGCGGGCTCTGCTTGGCCCTGGGAGGGGCAGCGGGGGCCCCAGCGGGAGCTCACACTCAGAGGCTGGGGCTGCTTGTGCTCCAGCAGTGAGGATCCACAGAGGCCAGGCTGCTGACCAAGGCCTGGGAGAGCGGCGGGGACGGCTGTCTGCAGGCCCGCCAGCCCCCAGCAGAGCAGGCTCACCCCAATGCAGGGCAGACAACCCTCTTTTCCAGGGGCTCTTTAGGTTTAGGTAGAAACGGTTCCTTCAACAAAGTACATTAAAAATCAGCCCACACACTCATCCTCGGACAAAGGGCTTTCTTGGACAAAGGGAGAGGACAGTCCCGTGAGGGCCAGCACTTCAAAGCCACTCAGCCAGCAACGCCCCGCCCCGCACCTCTGTCCACAGCCCTGGAGTCCTCACTCCTGTCCCCATACATCCAACTTCCTGGGAAGTCCCTCAGCTCTGCCGTCTTTGCACAGCCCACCCACTTCTCACCGTCTCAAGGTGCAGCGCCCCCTGCCTGCGGAGTGCAGCAGCCTCCCCGCGCTCCCCTTGACCCCTGGCTGCTCCAGCAGCCCAAAGCAGCTTGGAAAAGGACACTCAGTCACAGGCCACATCCCACCCTCCAAGAGGCCTCCGAGAGTCCAGCCCCAATTCCTGACCGCAACCTGGCCCTGGTGGCTTCCCCACCCTCTCCTCTACAACAGGCCTACTTTCTGCCTCACCAACATATCAAGTGTGTCTGTCTCAGGGCCTTTGCACAAGACGCACAGCCTTCTCTGGTCAATTTCAATGCCACCTCTTTGGCAGACCACCCTGACTGACTGCTTGCTCTGAGCAGCCATCGTCACCTGCTCCCATCCTGTCACTGATGGCCTCACACAGTGTCTGTCCTCATTCTTGGAGCCTTCCACTTAAGAAAGAGTTACTATTAACTTACTAGCTTCCTGATCTGGGTGGGTCCTGTCTCCCCAGACCCAGACTGACAGCCCATGAGGACAAGGTGCGTCGGTTTGGCTCAGCTGGGTCTCCCCAGCCTGGCCACAAGGACGCCAGCTCAGACACAGCCGCACACTCACCCCCACTCAACACTGAGTGCTCCTCCACCATCCTGGTCACATAGGTGTCGGGGTCCACACAGAAGTCGCTGGAGCCCTGGGGTGGGTATGGGCAAGGAAGATGGGTGACCAAGCAGAGCCTCCCAACCCTTCGCTCTCAGGGGTAGAGCCTGGCTCCCCAGGGTCTGCTTTTGGCTCAGGAAGGTAGAATATGAATCTGGGGGGGAGGGGCACTGACTCGCTGTGTGCCCAAGGGCAGGTCTCCAACCCTCTGGAGCCCTCGGCGTCCCAGGGGAGGGCGGGAGTGGGGTGTGGCTTCCTCCGCCCCCTCCCCCCCAGGCCCAGCAGGTGGAGATGGCCCTTCTCTGCCACTCACCACAGATGCCGCCAGTTCCAAGCCTAGCGCACCCCAGCCGATGACCAGGGCCAGGACGCCCAGCAGGCACACCCTAGGAGCAAAGAAAGCGAATCAGCACCCCCTGACCAGAGGGTGGGGCCATGCCACCTGCTGGGCTGCAGGCCAGAGGGCCCCAGGGCACATCCGGGAGTCGCCCACACAGGACATGTGGCTTCTCCAATGGGGGAGGGTCAGGATGGGGCTGACTGGGGGAAACACAGGCCCGGACTCACCCAACCAGGATGCCCTTAGAGCTGCGGACAAGCCCGACCAGCACCAGCAGGCAGATGGCGACGTCAAGCAGCAGCAGGCCCAGGTACCCCAGCCACCTGCAGGGACAGGGGACACGGTGTGGGCGCAAGGGACATGGCAGTGTGGGTGCAGGGGACATGGGGTGTGGACGCAAGGGACATGGCGGTATGGTGGCGGTGTGGGCGCAGGGGACATGGGGGTGGGCACACGGGACATGGTGCTGTGGGCGCAAGGGACATGGGGGTGGGCACACGGGACATGGTGCTGTGGGCGCAGGGGACATGGCCAGGGGAGGGGAGTTGCCTGGGCAGCCAGGCTTTTGGACCTCGGCCCTGGCAGAGCTGGGGAAACAGCCGGGGCCTGAGGGGTGTCCACAGGCAGGTCTGGGATATACGGGTTGGCGTCGGCTCTTGCAGACGTCCCCATAGGGGACTCCTGCCACAGTCCAACCCATAAAACTTCAGGCACTGGGTGCTGCAAGCTGGCTGAGGGTAAAGCTTGACCCGGGGCAGGAGGGGCCAGGTGGCACAGGCAGGAAAGAGGGCCCCGCACACCTGTACCAGTCGTAGAGGTCCACCTGCTCTGCCAGCGCCTCCAGCGACACGGCTGGGTTCCTCCAAAACGGGATGGCAGCTGTGTAGCCCAGCAGCACGTCCAGCAGGCCCTGCAGCCGCTGGACCGCCCGCAGCGGCTCGGCTCGCGCAGCCAGCTGCCGCTCCAGGCTCTGCAGGCTGGGCTCTGCAGTCCGGTTCAGGGCGGCTGCGGTGTCCCACACCTGCGCCAGGCGGGGTCGGTGAGCCGGGGAACCTCGCGCCCGCACCCGCCCCCCCTCAGCTGCCCCGCCCAGACCTCCCCCCACGCGCTCAGGCGCACGCGCAGACACGGGGTTTAGCAGCAGGAAGAGGCCCTTCCCATCTCGGCGGCCACTCACGCGGTCCTGGACCCCTGCCACCGTGCGGTTGGCATGACGGAGCGAGTAGGTGGCCCGATGGATGCCGTCACTGGTCTCCCCGTTGCCGTAGAAACCCACGGCGATGCCGGCGCTGGGACAGGGCAAGGCTGTGTGAGGGAGCCTTAGGTCCCTCGCCTCCCGCCGGGAGCCCCTGCAGGGGACCCCAACTGCCCTGCCGGGCCCCGTCCCGCACTCACCTGCAGACTAGGGTGGCAATGATGACGCACCAGGCGGTGCAGCAGCAGTCGGCGTCCAGGTGCTCCTCGCTCTTGCGCGGGCGACAGCACAGCCAGAAGGAGTAGCAGAGCAGGAAGAGGAGGTCCAGGGCGAGGCAGGCGAGCGCGGCGGCTCCCAGAAGCAGCAGCGCCTGCAGGTGGCAGGGAAATGGCGCTGGAGGCATGGACCCTGCCGCCGCTCCACCCGGAACGCCAGTACCCGCAAACCCCGCCCGTGCCCAAGGCCAGGGCGGCTGGCACACGCTGCCAACACCTGTGTGACGTGCCTGCGGTGACCCAGACCTGGCAGTCCTGACTCGTGTCCTCAACCCTGTGCAAGACACCAGGACTCAACCCAAGCCCCACTCGCAGGGGCCAGGCGGGCAAGGCCACGTGGTCCACCTCTCCTACCCCTACCAGGCCCTGCGGCCCTCCCCATGGGAGGCTGCCATCTCCTGGGCCCCAGAACCCAAGGTGAGCGATGTTCGCACAGGAATCCTTGACCAGACCAGACCAGACCAGGTGAGAGGAGGTGCTTGGTGGGGGGTGACCAGAGAACAGAGCTCCAGCCATGGGCGGTCCCTCCGCAGAGCCAGCTCGGCTGCTGACTGGCCACCTGGCCCAAGCCTCAGTTTTCTTTTGTAAAACTGGGGGTGGTGCTGCCTTCCCAGAAGAGGTAGGCATTCTCAGGAAAGGCCAGGCAACAGCAGTGCCCCTGGGAGGGGCTGTGGGCACTGTCCTCCTCGTCAGCGCTGCCACTGCCCTGGACCTGGCCACCTGGTCGAGCCCCTGAGTCCTGGCAGCCTGAAGGGCCCAGCACTCTCCACCAAGTCCCGGGAGGCACCCTCCTGTCGCTGAGGCTGGCGTCCCCCACGGGAAGCAGCTGACCGATCCAGCAGTGACTGCTGTGGGCTCAGCCCTGGGCCAGGCCCTCAGGAGGGAAGGGGACAGACAACACAGCCTTCGTCTGCGGGAACAGGCACCAACCCGCCTCCTCTGGACACCGCACCCGTCAGTCCGTCCCATCAGTGCTTCACTCCATTTCACTGATAAACCAACTGGCTTCAGAGAAGGTACGGAGGAAGCACCTACATGCCCTCGCCAGGGCCCTCTGGGAACCTCAGCACCCGTCCTTTGTCAGGGTCAGTGGTGGGTGACACAGGGCTGCAGGCTGAGCCTGACCACATGCACCTCATCAGGGTGGGGCAAGCAGGCACCACGCAGGGCTGACATGTGGAGACGCCCACCCCTGGGCGCCATTGGAGTTGTGGTGTGACCACTGGGCACCCCTCAGCTGCCCTTGCCGGCACTGCTGCTGACACCCAGACCTCAGGAGGACCTGGAAACACCTTCCCTCCCCATATCCGAACCCTCAGCTAGGTGGCCTTCCTGCGGGCCTGAGCCTGGGGAGCCGTTGGGAGTGGAACACCCCAGGCCCACCGGCCCCTGCAGGGCGACCGTGGGACAAGCAGCTCAGGAGAGGCACTGGGACTGCTGGGTCACAGCCCCTGCACCCGGCAGCTGTATTCCAGGAGACAGGTGCCAGGCAGCAGAGGGAGGATGGCAACTCTGCCTTCCCAGGAGCCTGTTGGCCTCCAAGGCCGCCTCCTACTCAGCCCACCAGCCCCAAGTCGACTGAACCCCCTCGCCCCACCCCTGAGGCAGGGCTCTCCCACATTCCACCTGACCAGGGAGGCACCTATCAAGGCTTGCACCTCCAGCCATGGTCCAAAGCCACACTGCTGCCCTGGGGGCCAAGGTGCCGTTTGGAGGCTGGGCCTTTGTACCATGAGGCACAGGGTGGGGGTGCCCTCTTGGGAAAGGCCAGGGTGCCACCGTGAGGCTGAAGTCACAGGCTGCAGCCCTCGCCCACGGGCCACCCTGTGCTGCCCAACGAGCAATTTGGACACAGTGGGTGCTGGGGGCTGGCGCCCTCCACTCCTTCAGGCAGGGGTGCAGCCACTCACCGCCCTGCACTGGCAGGAGGGCCTCAAGGGCCCTGACCGCTGCTGCTCACCAGGCCTGGTGGGGCTGGCACCAGAGCTACCTCGTCAGCCCAAGGTCATATGAGGGAATGGCCAGGCCACACCTGGGAGTGTCCCGGGGAATCGAGGGCCTGCCAGAGGGCCAGGACACAGTCGCGGGAGGGCACTCATCTTAAGGGGCCTGGCACTGGGCATCACCCCACCCCACCCAACACTGGGAGTCGAACATTAGGGTGATTGGAAGAGCACCCCATTGTGGGGTCCCTGGGACTGCCCTCACGTGCACAGGCTGGACACTGCCCAGAGGAGCTGCCGGCCCGGCCAGTTCCGTCCTCACAGGTCAGAAGCAAAGGGCAGGACAGACACTGCCCCCCAGACCTTGGCTCCAAGGGACATTGCGCTTCCATAACCAAGGCCACCCTCCAGCCCCCAGTCAACTACTAGGTCCTGTCACTGCTGCCTGCAGGCTCCTCCCCGAGAGCCCCGCCCTGAACCCTGGATCAGACCGCACACATCAGGGATGAGCCCCCGTCAAAGGCCCGCCCGCCCTGGCTCCCAGGGCTCTGCGGACCGTGTGGACCAGCCCCATCCGCCCTGTGCTGGCAGCCGTGCCGGAGGCCACACTTTGCTCCCTAACAGGCCTCCTGCCCCCCTCACTGTGGGAGTCTGGGGGGCCAGAGCCCCACCCCATGTCCAGAACACAGCTGGCTCGGAGCTGCTGCTTACCTGAGGGGATCTGCACGAGGTGGCCTCCAGGACACCTCCTTCCTCTGGGGTGAGGTCGGGCTCAGGGCCAGGATGGGCGGAGCCCCACAGGCACCCAAGCTGGGCTCTGAGCCCACCCAGCACGGCACAGGGCACGGAGCTCAGCCTGGTGGTGAGCAGCCAGTGCTCACACGGTCATCAGGACTCATCAGAGCCCGCGGGCCCGGAGCACCGTCTCGGTGGCGCCAGGACCACCCACTCCCATTTGCCAGACGAGAAAACTGAGGCAAGAGAAGCATCACTGGCCAAGCGAGATCCTAACACCTGGGGCGGCAGCCAGGCTTCCAGGTCGGGGACACGTGCGAGGTGTGGGAGGCGGGCGGCGCCTGTGCCTCTCCTGGGCTTTCTACAGCTTTGATTTGGCTAGTTTTGTTTTCTGTTGTTGGGTTTCTTTTTTTTTTTAATGTTTTCTTTTCTTTTTTTTTAAGCCACAAACACATACTACCTTTATAATTAAAACACAAAACCAGAAACCTGCGAGCAGTTCTTTTCCGTCAGACGTGGGAGGCCGCTGGTCTGAGCCCAGCTTGGCCACGTGAGATTTCGTGCGGCCTCTGGTCAAGCTCTGGGCTCTCTGCACCCCGTTCCCTCTTCTGAGAGACGGGGTGAATATTTCCCAACCCCTCCTATGCTGTCACAGGGAGAAGGGCCCCGGCAGCCATGAGGCTGAATTTGGGCTGCAGTCCCCACTGGTGCCCCAGGAGCCAAGATCAAGTGAAGGAACACGCTGTGGCTCACCGCCAGGCGGCAAAGACCTAACTGCCTGCTGCTGGACAGAGGCCGAGGAGACGCTTCCTGCCCAGCCGCACAGCCACCCCCAAACTCAGGCCCTAGAAGGGCAGCCTGACTCTCAGGGAACCAGAGTGCCAAGGTTCAAGTGCTGTAATGCTTGGTTCTAGATGGGACCTTGAGTCAGTGACTAACCTGTTCCTCGTTTCCCCCACGTATAAAACGGAGACAGTAACATCGCCCTCCCTTGCCCCAGTGGGGTGTTGGAAAGGCCTCAATGAGCACATCGATCTGCATTTAGGATTAGATGAGGCCCGGCACACAGCGGGCGCTCAGAAACGTGCCCCCCTCCCCCAAGCTCTGAGAGGCTGGGCGGCTTTCCCTCTGGCACGATGGCTTCCTCCCTGGACATGGCCAGCCTTAAACAGTGACCCCACTGGGCAGCCCCAGAAGGCGAGCTGTGAGGCCTGTACCAGGACAGCATCACACAGCCCCTACAGGGGTGACAGCACCCTCTCGGTTTACACAGGAGGGCACCTGGGCTTGGGGGAGGTCAGCCCTGGGAGCGCGGCGCCGGGCGGCTGGTTCCTCGTGCCCCAGGGCCAGGCGCCTAGCACCACCTCTGAGGCCAGATTCCCAGAGATCAGCCTTCCGCTGGCATCCGTGGTGGCCCCGCCTCCCCTTCCCTCAGGCTGGCGTCCCGGTGGCCTCTCCCTGGGCCCATTCAGAAACAGAATGGGAAATGTTTGATCAGCATCTGGGCTCCGACCAAATGGAATTTTCCGTCTGTGATGGAAGTGATGTCAGCACTCGGTCAGGCGAGGGGAGAGGCTCAGGCCCATATCCTGACCACTGGCCACAGTGCTGGCTGCCAGCCACCTGAAGCACCAGGGACATGAGGGGACTTGCGGTGAGGACGCAGCGTGGCCACGCGTGCACTGAGGGGCTGCAGCCCACACACCCTCTGGCCCTGTGGCTCGTTTTGCAGCCCTGGACCACCCCATCCTTCTCAAGGCCCCTGCAGCCCCTGTCGTGGAGCGTATCCACGGGGATGTGCCCACTCTCCCCTGTGCCCTGAAGCCCCTCCCACCCCAAGACCCAACCCACTGTGGAAACACCGATGAGCCAGAAGTCGGGCCCAGGCCCAAGTCTGAGGTCTGTTAGGGGACCCAACAAGCCCCCAGCCCTCAGCAGATCCTCCCAGCCCTGGCGGGGAGACAGCGGACGGGAGGGGGCCCAGGGCAGCGCTGTCCTCTTTGTGAGCCTCAGCTGGCTCCCTGCGCAGGTGGGCAGCCCCTCCAGGCAGGGGGATCCTGGCTTAGCCCCAGACTTGCTGGCAGTCTGGCTGCAAGCCAGCCGTGGGAGGGTCTGTGGTGTGCCACCAAATCTTACCAAAAGCTTTGCTGTGGGAGGCTCCAACCCACAGACGGGAGACCACGGCGTGAGAGGGCGTGAGATCACGAGGCCTCGAGCCTGTCCCTTCCACCCCCGGCTCCCACCTATTCTGCTCCTTCGGCTGGTGTGGGAGCGGCCAGTCAGCGCACGGGCATGTGCTCCCCACCTGTGCACGGTGCCAGGCTCAGTGCCAGCACAGGCCACACCAAGATGCCCCAGGCCACTAGGCCGGAGCGCCACACACAGCCCCGGGGCGGTCAGGGGACTTCCTCAAGGGC